CCCAAGAGCAGCCATGCCTCAACCTTGGTAATAAGTTCCTCATATTTTTTAAACATTTTTCTCTCATCATTGTTTTCAAAGGCTTATTTCAGTTTACTTAGCATCAGTAATCTAGGTATGTATAATACTTATGAATCCAGACCCCCAAGTTCAATTGATATTTGCATGAACTTTACATTTAAGATTTGTTAGTGTTTCTCCTCATAAAATATGAGGATCACTCACCACACACCTTTGAAATACTAGTTATACAATAAACATAAGGAAATAAGACCAACATTGTGAATAAAGAGAATTTGAAGGTCTGAGTAGGGTACCAGGTATTTAAAAGACTTCTTTAAGACACAATGATAACAGCAATAATATGAGAAATAATGATTTATTAAATTTGGATAAGCTATTCAAGGGAACAAGACAAAAATATTGAAGGAAACATTTCATCTGGGTTTAAAAGAACATATGCGTCCCTGTGTCTGGCTTTTCCTTCTTTAGAGATGATTTTATAGGCATTAGATTATGCTTAAAAAAGTGTTTTCATGATCATCCTACCAATACTTTGAACATCTTAAAGAGACATACAGATTATGTTTTGATACAACAAATGCTCAAAATGTGTTATTCAGTGACTATTGTTTTTCATGTCTATACATCTTAAAATTCCATGACAGGAATCATGGAAATTATAGTTCTATCAAAACTAGAAAGAATTTACGGATAAATACTTCTTCTATGTTGATAGGCATTTTGGATTCAAAAACTTTTTGAGATTGTCACAATTCAAGCACTTCTACAAAAATACTTCCGTTAATTAAAATTGATGCTTACTGCAGAAATATGAAGTCGAACTATTCCATGTCTTCATCAACTCATCCTCCAGTTTATAATATAATACCTCCAGGATCCTCAAAGAGGGACCTGTTATTTCCTCACATCGTCCTCTATCCTATACTTCTTTGGAAGGTGAATTCTTAAGAATTTTAAGGCACGTGCAGAAATGTCTTCAAAAGATTGTCTTTGAAATCTTTTCAAGTAAAATAAATATTTAAGTGGTCATAAATTTTCTTTGAAGACTTTAGCAAGGTAACCTCATATATCCTCATTATGTAGAGTATCAAGCCCAGATCAAGTCGGCTGGTGTTTCATACCATGGTTTCAGTCTCAGCATGTGACAGGGTACTTGATTATCAGGGCACCTGAACTGACTGTAGAGTAGGAATAAAGGCAAATGATTAGTTCTGATAACACTGAAAAAAGTGAAATCTAGAAAGTTCTACTTCTTAGAGACCAGCAAGGTGCCCACACATTTGTTCCTGATAAAACAGATCTTATGTCTAAATGAAAATAAAGATACTTAGATGGTTGGGGGAGGAAGGAGGTAGGTGGCACCCAAAAACAGTCACTGGTATCAGAGGAAGGAGAATCTGGGGCACCTGATTTATTTCCAAGTTTCACCAAATAAAGAGGAGGATCAAGGGTTCTTGATCTTAGTTGGTTGTTAAATCACCTGATACACTTTTTAAAAATACTAGTGCCTAAGGAAACATCTAATGTTAATTATATTCTTGATGGGTGGGGCCCAGCATCAATTTTTTTTTAAAGCTCCTCAGATGATTCTAACAAGTAACAAGATTTGACAAGCAATGTTCTAGAGCGCTGCTTGTCAAATTTTAACGTGCATATAAAGTCGCCTAAGGATATTATTAATGCACAAATTCTGATTCAAGAGGTCTGGGGTAGGGCCTGAGATTCTGTATTTCTAACAAGTTCAAATGTGATGCTAACATCACTGGCTCATGGACCATACTTTGCATGACAAAGTTTCTGGAAGAGTAGATCTCAACCTTAGCTGCGAGTTAGAATCACTTGGGGTACTTTTAAAAATACCCATGCTTGGGCCACATCCAAGATATTCTGATTGGTATGCGATTTGGCCATTAATATGTTTTTAAAACTCCCAGATGTAGTCAATGTTGAGAACCATTGTTCTAGAAGAACTGACTTAATTCATCCAGCTATGGGAAAAAAGAAAAAGAAATGGTGACAGAGGCAGAGGGAAGAAGTTGTTTGTTTGTTAACTAAACATGTCTAAGATGATGTGAATATATTTTCCGAAATATTAGAAAATGAAAATTCAAAGTAACCATTAAAGTTTAGTCAACATAAGCCATTCCCAGGGTCTTAAAGGGAGTGCTAACTATAAGCAGATGGAGCTTGAATGAGAAAAATCTAACCAACTGTCTCTTTGTGACACTCCTGATTCCATGTCATGAGCCAAAAACACCTGAAAATGTGAGACACTTTTTTATACCTCTACTCTCTGCTCACTGACTCAGTTACGACCATCCTTTTATGCCCGTGCAAAAGGATGCCCAGGGCACTTTTCTTTACACATTCCCACCAACAATAATTGTACCTCTGGCATAAGGACATGGTATTTGGGGAAGTTTAATGCCCATAACTTACACAGTTACAGAGACAAGGAGCACAATGATGGCAGTGCCTCTGTAAGAAAAAATGAAGGGAGTCTATAAAAATACTACAAATCAATGGAGAGCCAAAATAATCTCAATGGCCCAAAGGAAGACCATAACTTGGAAAATTATCTACGTCAGGATGAAAAGAACATGTCCAGAAATATCTGAGGATCAGCAATAGACTAAAAAACACAGACTCTATCAAGCACACACGCACACAAAAAAATTAGGAAAGGAAAGGAGGAAATGAAAATAAAATGGGATGATATAAGAAAGAACTTCAAGAATACTAAACATGCAACTGCAAAATCAAACCCCATAACAAAAGTAATAAAATAAAGAAAAGATACTATAGATAATCAAACGAATAAGATGAGAGACTAATTTTAAACTACAAAGGAAAGGACAAATAGCAGGTGTCATAAGTCCAACATGCAGATAATTAATATCCACAAAGAAGAAAGCAAAGTAAATGGGAGAGAATCAGATAAAATAGGAAGATGTTCTGTAAGTGGAAAAGTATCAGCATATGTACATTCGAAAGGTTTTTAATACATCCATTAAGCCTATCTTGGCAAGTTGTCTTAATTAAAGAGACAGAAAAATATCTGGAAGCTTTCAGTCTTAAAAGAAATAAGAAAAATTGAAAAAATGAAAGAAATATGGGGAACTTAAGAAAAATGAAAAAAATATGGGGACTATAGTCTTCTCTGAAACACTTACCAAAAACATACTGAAAATAGCAATATCTACAGAGTATTAACAGCAAAATTGTTACCTATCTTGCCTGAGGGTTTCAGCCCTGGGCATGTTCACTCTCGGTTTGGTGAGACTGAGAAATGACAATGGAACATTCTTGGGGTGAAAAGGGTTTATACCTGGCATTATTCTCATGGCAGTAGGTCAAGCACTAGAATCACGTCTGCATCCAACAGTCTGCAGGTCTGTAATCCTCCTCATGTCTACCTCTACCCAGAGCACTGGATGGAGTTCTTCTTATAGTGACTCAGTCAATAATAGCGCATTGCCAATGGATGTGGAAGCAGTAGCCAGCAGTAGGCCCATTACATCATCCAGTAGTTTAGGGTCAGGTGAGGATCCTGGCCATAGGAACTTCCATTTCCATACACCCCAAACTTTATATGCCACTAACTTACTTCATATCTCAACATAATGTAATGACTAAAGGGGGGATGTGGGTTTGAGGGATACTGGGGAATTGTTTAAATGGGAGAGGCTCCATCACGTTTAACAAATGAAAATAATCCATTTGAGAGGAAGAGGTCAGCTAGACAGTAAATTATGTAAATTTCTATGTGGTAGGGAATAGGAAATAAACACAATTGAAAAGAAGACTTCCTTATTGAAACAAGAGAAAAGTAGTTGCAGATGGAGACATATAGGTCTGCATGTTTCATAGAAGAGAAATAGAATGAGTTCTTTCTAACTATATTTTTCCATTTGACATAGAAAGCATCTGCTAAGAGATGGTGAAAAGGAGAATGTTGGAGAAAGACAAAGAATGGTGAAAAATAATTACTTCAGAATCAAAGAATGTAATTGAACCGGGAAGAGGTGTTGAAGGTCCGTTTGAGTCATAAATGTAAATAATTACAATCTGCCCTGTTGAATGACGATGTCCAGCAGAGCTTGCTCACTGGAGAGGCGGGGAGAGAGCAGAGACATGGAGGAACCCCAATGTAAGTATGGTTTTTAAAGTGGGGGTGAAGGTGTGAATAAAATAAAACAGGGCACCTCAGGTATTTAGAATGTTAGCAAAACTATTACTGAAATTCTAGGCTATGAAATCAGAGTAGGATAAGGAAAGAAAGAAAGATGACAATATGGATAGAAGAAAAGTAGAAGCCAAGTAGCTGCACAAGAAGGAAGGAAAGCAGCTGCGATCAGAGAGCAGGGTGAATGCCTTCCTGGCTCCAGGGGCGGAGTGATTATGGATGAGTAGGTGGGCCGGGATCACGGGAGACGCGAGGGTTGAAGGCTGAAAGCCAGCCTCTTGGTTGTCATGTCTACAGGCTCTCGTGGCACTTAGGAAATGTTGACAACTGCCATATCATCGTATTTTGATATTTCGCATATACTTTCAAAAGACGAACATTCAAAATAGTAGAACATTCATGACGTAAGAGTGAAACTTGGGCAGCATCAGCAATAGTGTAAGAGGCAACTTAATCCAGGCATTTCTCTCTGGATTTTCAAACTACTTAGAGCAATGATTTTTATTTGAATAAATTATTAAGGTTTATATGACTAACTTGTACTACTGAAGTGTATTTTCTCAATCACAAATCTAAGCCACTTCTCATCCTCACAAAGCACCACACAAAAGAAAAGTAAAGATCAAGGTTTCTCTCTCCCACTTCTCCCTAACATGTCCAGCCTGACATCTCTCATAAAAGTATAAACAATTTATGAGTATGAAGTATTACTGCTAATTACAGGTGTTACAAGCAATCATGATATTATTACAATCATAAATGTAATAAAAACAAGGAGAAAGATTCTTACCAAAGGAAGGTGACTCCCTTCCATCCTCTAATCCCGAATCTCTCTCTCTGTCTCTCTTTCGGTGCTTATGACCACGATGCCTGTGCCGTCGATGGCTTTTTCTTCCTCCCAGGGGCACATGAACCCCAATAAATAGTGTCCGATGACCTTCATCAGAAGGAAACGCAAAAATTAAACTCTGAATTATTCAAGAGCTCAGAAGATGATTATTTTCATATTAATAGAAACTCAATTCAATTCAACCCAGCAAACAGCTTTTGAGTGTTTATGTAAAGCTTGGGGACTGACACTGCATTTTGACATCATACTTATTTTTGTATACCACAAGCCTATCACAAACATGTATAATACTGATTATTTGGTTATATATTTCAAAATCACCATTAATTTATTAATTGTCTTAATAACTCTCTGTATCTATTACCCATAGTTTTAAGCACACACCTCTCATTTTTAAAAAGTTGTTCTACTTTCTATCCACCCTCAACTAACCATGTTACCTCACCAATTCCCTTCCTTTCACAGTTAAGTGTGAAAGAAACAGGCTTCACAAAGTTCCCTGGAAATGCCAAATCCCATGCAGTGTTTTCATTTCTGCCTTGCTGCTCTGTGTCACTTGACACCGTTGGCCACTCTCTTCTTATGACTTCTTTCTCTTGGTCTTCCTCCTTGTCCTTCTCCTTCGTTGTGTTCATATCGGTTTCCTTTGCTGGTTCTTCTATTTACCCATTCAAGTTTGGAGATTCCCCGGGGTTCTCATTTGACCTCATGATTTCAAATAATATATATATTGCAGTTCTGAAACCAGTATCTTGATGCCAGATCTGTTTCTTGAACTGCAGACCTATGTATCCATCCACCTACTGGACATATTACTTGCACATTCTTCCCACAGACATGCCAAACTCAACATGTCCACAGAACTCATTCTTTTCTTTGCCCACCAAGTATCAACTATCATCTAAGCACACCACCTATCCAGTCACCTTGAAGCCCATCTGATTTATCACCAAGTCCTCCTTTATATCTCCTGAATCTATTCACTCTTTAACATCCCTATTGTTAGTGTCTTAGTTGAGCCCTCACCATCTCTTACCAGGACTTCTGGAACATTCTCCCTACCATTTTTTTTCCTAACTCCGATCTTGTCTGACCTCTTATTCATCCTGAATGCTGATGGCTCTTTTCTCCAAAATGCAATTCTGAAATTACTCCCCTGCTTTAAATTTATTGAGTGCTCTCTGTTGCCTATATGATAAAGCTTTTAGTACTCTATAAAGCCAAACCATATCTGGACCCTGCCTATTCTCCAGCCAGACCTCTAAATACGCTCTGCCTCACACACAAGCCAGTGTGTGCCCCTTCATCCCTGAAGGGCCAGATGTTCTCAAGTTTCTCTTTAATTAATGCTATTCTTATTCTTCCAGACATGTTAAATATCTTTGTCCCTTCTATCTGATGACTACCTACTCATCTCCCGAGTCTCATTTCAAGGATTTTGCCATCTATAACATTTTTCTGTATCCTCTAACCTTAAATATAGGTGGTCACTTTCCCACTAGGATACTATAGTACTTAAGCATATATATCAAAGCATACAAACTCTTGATGGTAATTAGTTACTTATATATAGTTTTCCTCTTATGAATCTTCTCTAGAGAAATCCCATTTCTTAGTCATTTTGTGTCTTTGGCTCCTGAGACAGTGCCTGATATACAATAGATGCCTAACAACTATTTACTAAAATGATTAATATCATATCAGGTGGTATTGTGCTAGGTATCAGGGATACAAATATAAATAAGACATTATTTTATTCTTATAAATCAGCAGGTTTCAGTTCTCCCCAACTTATACAGAAAGAGCCATTCCCAACTGTGATATATTGCCCTGGGCCTCCTCTGCATGAATGTATCAGAATCAATGAGGAGATGTAGGAACCCCTTCTCAAAAACAAAAACAAAAACAAAGATGCATTAACTTAGGCATTCACCACAATCACAAATTTCAAACATCATTATTTTACCAGAACTTGAACAATCTAACATGTATAAGAAAAAACTTGAAAGAAAAATAACCAATATTTTGAACAAGCTCAAAGAGGAAGAATTTACCTTATCAGGTAGTAAGACAGACCATAAAGCTGAATACTTAAAACAATTCACAAACTTTGGAATCTTAAACATTAGTAATTTCAAGTTACTTGGACCATCCCAACAATGTAATCCTCTAATATGTTGAAGGCTATCAAGCAGGGAGAATGTGTAAAGCAAGAAAGAGAATTCAGATGTAACCTTGCATAAAACTAGTATTTAAGCATCTGGAAAACATAAACCAAAGACTTAAAAACAATTTTAAAAAATGAAAGAATAGAGCTCCAATTAAACTGGAAGATTAAATATTTACTTTTATCACTATTCTATCTGGAAACTGTATTCTTAATGCCAACTTAGGAAACAATTGCTTAAACAGCACTGACGATAAAAGAAATGATTAATAATGTTTATTATGTTAAAATCAGCAACTTCTCTTCACTACCAGAGAGTGGAGAAAAAAAAAGCCACAAAGCATGGAAGTATATTCGCAACAAATATAACTGACAAAGGACCAATAAACAAGAAATCCTATAAATCCTAAGAAAAAGATGAAAACCCAATGAGAAAATGGACAAAAACCTTAAATAAGCACTTAAGAGAAAGCCCAAATGGCTAATAAATGTAGAAAAAAGTGTTCAACTTCATTAGTTCTCAAGGAAATGAAAATTCAAACCATAATGAGGTATCTTTACACTTACACCACATTGGCATTTCCTACTGAAAGTGAAAATATTATGACCCAGCAATTTCCTTGGACCTCAGAGAAATATATGCTTATGTATATATGTGTAAGATATATATATATATAAGAATGACTACACCAGCACTGCTTATAAAGACAAAACACTAGAAATAACCCCAAAATCCACTAACATAATGTATAAAGTAGGGTGTATTCACAAAATGGGATATATACAGCAATAACTTTTAAAAAATACACATACACATACACACAATATAACCTTAAAAAGAGAAAAACTAAAATATATTGTCCAGGACATATACACAGAAAAAGGCTGACATAAAAGTCAGAACAGTGGTTGCCTCTGGCATAAAGAAGAGTAGGCATTGTGATTGGGGAGAGGCATGTGAGGAGCTTTTAGGTGAAAGAAATATTTTGCTTTAAAAATACTTATTAAACTTTATATATATGCTTTCTTCACTTTTCTGTATGAATGTTTCATTTCACAAGTTAAAAACTTAAAAAAGAAACCAAAGGAAAACAATTCCAAGTAGAGGGCAGCAGTATACATGGTGTGAAGGAGTCAAACAAGATTAAAAGACTAAAAATTAGCCACTACAAGAAATTAATGGTTATCTGTGATCTTCTTGACAGCACTTTCAGTGAGTGGGGGAATGAATAGAAATTAAGGAAGTTTAAACACTGAATATTTCCTAGAGTTGCAAATAAAGGCTTTACAGAGAAGTGGTACTTGAAATAAACCTTAAAATTTGCAAAGGTGTCTAACCATTACAGATTAAGATAGCCATTCCCAGGTGGAGAAAGGTAAGAGGCACTATGGACCTGGCTGGCAAGTGCTGAGAGCCTGGCTGGGTAGAGTGAATATTGCCTTTGTTTGTGGAATGTAGATCTGAGAGTAATTGCTAAAAGTAACATCCTAAGAAGTTGTCAAGTCAAGGCTAAAATAAATAATCTGAAACCTTATCCAAACATAATGAGATAAGAAGAAGATGCCAAGACACAAAACTGAATTGCTGTCTTGAGGATATTAAATGCAAGGAAGACTGAGATGAAGAAAATTCCTGAGGCAGAATCTTGCACAGTTGGTTAAAAAGTCAAGATTCATTTGAGTAAATAACTATGAGTGTAATGGTGGGATTATATGGTAAGCTTATGTTCTTAAAAAGATTGTTTTCCAAAGTGATGGCATCATTTTGCATTCTAACCAGCAATAAATGGGAGGTCCTGTTGCTCCACATCTTTGTCAACATTTAGTGATGTCAATGTTTTAGACTTTAGTCATCCTAATTGGTATGTAGTGGTATCTCTGTTTTAATTTGCAATTTCTTAATAACATATGATGTTGCATCTTTTCATATGCTTATTTTTTCTTTGGTGAGGTGTCTGTTCAGATTTTTTCCTATTTTGTAATTGGATTGTTTTATTATTGAATTTTAAGAGTTCTTTGTATATTTTGGATATATTCCTTTACCATTTTTGTTTGACAAGAATTTTCTCCCACTCTGTAGCTTGTCTTTTCATTCTTGAAAGTGTCTTTCAGAGAGCAAATGTTTAAAAAATGTTCACTTTATCATTTTTTCTTTTATTGAATGTGTTTTTGGTGTTGTATCAAAAAGTCACTGCCAAATTCAAGGTCACCTAAATTTTCTCTTATGTCAACTTCCAGAAATTGTACAATTTCATGTTATATTTAGGTCTCTGATCTATTTTGAGTTAATTTTTGTGAAATAAATAAGGTCTTTATCCAGATTATAATCTAATTCCTAATTCAGTCATCAGGAATTAGTCCCAATGAGTTGAAATCCAATATCCACATAATAGCCTGCACACAAATGTTTATTGCAACTTTATTCATAATTATCAAAAATGGAAAACAAGATGTCCTTTCATTTAATAGGTGAATGAATAAACAAACTGTGGTACGTCCATACAATGGAGTATTATTCAAAAATAAAAAGAAATGTGCTATCAAACACTAACAAACATGGAGGCAGTTTATATGCAATGTGGCTAAGTGAAAGAAGCCAGTGAAAGAGTTATATAATATAGGATTCCAACTATATGACATTCTGAAAAAGGTAAAACTATACAGATAGTAAAAATATCAAAAGTTTCCAGGGGCTCATGGGGAGGGAGAGAGAAGAATAGGAGGAGCACAGGGCGTTTTTAGAGAAGTGACACTGTCCTGTCTGATACCGTAATAGTGGACATGTAATATTATACACTTGTCAAAACCCATAGAAATATATAAAACAAAAAGTGAATCCTAATATAAACTATAGACCTTAGTTAATAATGATTTATTAATATTGGTTCATCAATTGTAACAAATGTACTGCACTAATAAA